CTCCGGCTCTCTTTCCCCCTCCTTCTTTCCCCCCAAATTACTGGAAGGACTGTGTGGGAGAGACCCAGAAGCACCCAGATTTTCAAGCGCGGGGTGGGGGAGGGGAGGGCCGGGCAGCCGCTGCTGCTCAAAGATAAACTGAAAGTGCGTCTGTTCGCTCAGCTTCTACACACGGCTGTTCCCGGGAAGGCCCTGGACGCTGCGGCCGCGCCTCCCTTTGCAGCCTCCCAAGATCTCGCTAAGGGCCCGTGTGGCCCGGGAGGGGACGCAGAGGCGAGTGAGAAAGTGTCACGATTTCTTCTCCTCTGTTTCCCCCCCAACCGTCCCCACCCTCAGTTTTCTGGGTTTTGCCGCTGCTGCTGGGGAAAGGGCTGATCGGTTTTGCGTCAAAGGACTGCATTTACTCAGTCCTGCTGGGAGAGGCGCGTAAACACACCCAGGCAGGCAGGACGCAGGGATTAAAAAAAAAAAAAAAGACAACAAAACCCCAGGCCCCTGCGCCGGGTGCACGCACCCACCTGCCCTACACCTCTCGACCCAGCCGGGGAGTTGGGGACTCTGCCGGCAGGCGGCGGCGGAGGTTTCGAAGAGTCTGGCTAGCCTTGCCTCTCCGCGCGCGTCCTTGGGGATGGAGCTCAGGACAGAATGTGTTTTATAGCTGTAAACAATGACCCCGAGTATTGTTTGGGATTACCGTATCTTGGGGCCATTGGGGCGGCCAGATGCCGCCAGCCGTCCCGGAAACGCCAGCGCTTTATATAGAGCCCCGGGAAAGCTTCGAGTTCCCGGCTGTATTTTTCTTTCCTAGCAACACCCCCACTTTACAGATAAGGAAACTGAGGATCGAAACTGTGATGTGCTACAGTGCACAGCACTTCAGTCTTCACACATCTTCCCATTGGGTCCTCACTAGGACCCTGTGGGGATACATACGGTGCCACTCAAGAGTTGGGTAAACCGAGAGTAAGGCAGAGCCTGGACCAGAACCCAGTTTCCTTGACTCCTGGTACAACGCTCCTGTGGATCACCGCTGCAGAAGGTTCCAGAGATGATTAGGGCCCAAGAAGGTCCTGTCACAATCCCTTCGTTTTATAGGAAGAAGCTGAAGCCCAGAGAGGTTAAGGGACTCGCCCAAAGTCTCACAGCTCGTAAACAGCACAGCCCGCGTTTGTACTCCAAGGCCTGTGCTCTTTACCCCGCGCCTCGCCCCGCCCTGCCCACGAGGCGGGAGAACCTAAGAGTCCGGACTACCTGTTCCCTGAACTTCGCTCCAAAACAGCTGAAGACAATGTTGGGGGCACACCCTCTCCCGGGTCTCCCTCTCCCCCCACCCCCTTTTTTTGGTTTGTTTCCAAATTCGTAACAGTCCAGTTTGCTTTTAAAGCTCGATTATTCCTATTAGATGCGTCCTAATTGCCTGGCTTAGAAGGTGGCCGGAATGTCTTGACTGGTTAATATCGTCTTCAA